ATCTTCGATTCTATCTCCATGAAGAAACTTTTACAACGCTTACAATTTATGTAGGCAACACAATTTCGGGGGAAAAAAACTGACCATAGACATATATATATAGGTTTGTGAAACTGACTCATTTTAGTGAAATTTCATTACCTAAATTTGGATTCTATACATAGTGTTGAAAATACAATGAAAAATAAAACCTAAAAAGTGTGTTATTAAAACATAGTTTCCTTTCTTTTTCATTACATTCTTTACAAAAAATGCAAAGTTAAAATTGAAAATAAAATATCTTAGAGGGAATGGGGATACGACAACAATGCGAACAGGAAAAGAAAAAGGAATGGTACAAAAATGGATTTAAATCAAAGAGCGCGTTAGGTATAGTGTCCAGATCAGTCTTAATGAATGTTTTTTCTAAAATAAAAAAGCGGGGGGCGGCATTTTTTTAACTTCGAACGCAGGCGGCCACAACCCTCGCGGCGGCTCTGCATGTGATGATTTCGAATGACAAAGTGCAGGGGCCCTTAAAGATGTAAAGCCCCTCCCCGGCCCCCAAATCCCTAGCTACGCCCCTGATTTCAACCTAAACGAGTAACTCTACATTCCATCGATTTTGCAGGTAGCCAAGGCGAACTAGTGCAGCAAGACATTTTGATGACACAGGTGCCTGGTGTGAATTTTGAGTTTACTTATTTATTTACATTTCACACTACTATTATGGTTCCCGCATATTTATACTTAAATACACACAGACAAATATTTTGATGGTATAAATGTATAACCCAAACTGAAACGAACCAGAGAGAGAATAATTTATATACTCTAATGAATGACAAACCACAGGTAGCAGTCTATGACACTCATCTCGTATTGTGTGGAGGTGGTTACATGCAGTCCGCTGAGTCTCGTTTAAAAACAGAAAAGCCTTTCTTTCTATTTTTTCAATTAATTTTTTTTTTCAACAACAATAGACCGTATTGCTATATGCCACATTGTTATAATAGGTCCTAACGAGAGAGTCTGAACAATATTATTAGGAAACATAAATAATTAGGCCATATACTTTTTGTATTTCTTACTTTGAAATAAAATGTTCCTTTCAGTTCTGAATAAAGATAAGATAAGATAAGATGTTATTGGTCCAAACAAATGGGAATTCAGTTTGAATACAGTTGTCCACTTCAGTATTATTACTGTAACAATAACATAATAGGTGCAAATACTAACAACAGAGTGCCAATTAAAAAATCATCTATCACATTTAAACAAAGCTGGAATATTGGTGAAGATGTTTGCCGCACTATATAATGTTTCCATTTGCTAGCAAAAAAAAAGGCGTAGCCAGGATTTTTTTTCGGGGGGGGGGTCTGGGGGAGCGCTAGAAGCTCACCCAAAGCGGGGCGGAGCCCCGCCGCCAAGCACTATTTCTGGTATTAAAAGCCAACAAAATGCATATTCTGAGGTATCTAAACTGCTATTAAAAAGTTTTATTTCAAAAACCTAATGTGCTATTCTTACTGACTTAGACTCTCCCGCGCCATTTGGCTCATTTGCCGTCAAGCTGTTTCCACAAAAATCTGTTACTGGTAATCTCTGAAGCCTCTTCCCACCTGCTCTGAGGACCTCCATGAATGTGTGGCGCCAAGTTGTACTTCATAGGATGTCATCGCAACTCTTATTATGCTTAATTCATTTTGTCGGAGAACGTCCCCCAAACCTCATGCGACGCTCTGTCACAATCTTAATAAGGGGTCAACTCCCAGTTCGGCATAGCATTTCCTTGGTTTAGACCCGATCTCTATAAAAAATAAAATTTTTCTTAGCCATCTTTGTTGAGCCACATTTCAATTTTGCAGATGACTACTCACACTGCACTTTATTAATGGAGCTCCGCCACTGGTAGAAATGTAAAACCTCTCTTGAATACACTATTGGAATTAGGTGACTGTAGTTTGCTTTAGATTTTATATCGAAAAGGGAAGTTTTATCGTCCAAATGATTATCTGTTGAGGGTTTTAAACTCAAACATCTCTTACGCTGTTGTTTTTTTATAATTCAAATTCATTGAGCTACGGTCATAGAATTTGGTAACTGTTGTTTGCTTTAGAATAATATTGAAGATAGATTTTCTAGCTTCAAACTCCGCTGGCGGCGGGTTTAAACTTTTGAGTGCATAATTTACTGTTTTTAATATTAAAGAGGTATTTTTTACCTTCAAACCCCGCTGAAGGAAGTTTAAACTCAAAACTGAGTCAAAACGAATTTAGCTACGCTCATAACATTTTGAGTGCGTAATTAACTTTTTTTATATTAAAGAGGTATTTTTTTTTTACTTCAAACCCTACTGAAGAGGGGGAGGGGAACTCAAAACCCCTTCAAAATTTTGAGTGTGTAATTTACTTTTTTTATATTGAAGAGGGGGTTTATCGTAAATTTTGGAGGGGATTTAAAATCAAAATCTTCCTTAACTTTGCTTTTGGAGTTTGGGGATTGTCGTTTGCATATTTTTTTTGTTTTATAGAAGAGGGGGATTTAACTGCTAAAACCCCTGGTAGGGGGTTTTAAACGCAAAACCCCCTGGTAGAGAGTTTTAAACTCAAAACCCCCTGGTGGGGGCTTACACTCAAAACCCCCTGATAAGGGGTTTTAAACTCAAAAATCCTTGGCTGTGCTGAGGCAAGTGATGGTTTGGTATTAAAATCTCACCTAAAATAAACAAAATCAAAGCAAAAAATCAGTCACTAAATTTCTATCCCCCCGGCTACGCCCATGTAGCAAACCTTTTCAATATTAAGCATTCGGAAGAATAGACTCTTCTCTAGGCTCAGTGATTATGTCAATTAAAAACTTAAAAGTATTTAGCAGCTGACATTACCAACCTTGTAAATAAAATAAGCCCTTAGAAATCACACATTCATTATCATCTGTAGCCTGTTCGAGAAACAATTTGTTCAATTTCGCTTCACAAATATTTTGTCTGCACTAAATAAGCTTAAATACATACATGTCTTGTCCTACTTGTATAGCTAGTTGACTCATTATCCACTATACAAACAAATAAATGTCATTTTATCAAATTTGGTAGAAAATGTTGTGCGGCCTGAAGTGACAATTTGTGTTACCCACCAAGTCACTAATGTTGCTGTTTAGGACAATACCTCTTGAGGCACTAAGTCATCTCAGAATCGCTCTCTCATTATGCATAATTTTAATGTCTCTCCATGGAGTTTGGTCTATGGTTAGGTCTTATCAGTGATTGATATCTGTGTCCAGATCTTTTCAGTGATTCATTTCTGTGTCCTGATCTTTTCAGTGATAGATATCTGTGTCCTGATCTTTCTAGTGATTGATTTCTGTGTCCAGATCTTTCTAGTGATTAATATCAGTGTCCAGATCTTTCCAGTGATAGATATCTGTGTCCAGATCTTTCCAGTTTTTGATGTTAGAGTCCAGGTCTTCATCCTACTATCCTACCCGTGGGCTTGCATTCTTTTCAACGATTACATTCCACTGCTAGGGTAATATACGTTTTAGGAAGAGTTTTCGGTGCACACATGCGCTTGTGTAATTTCACTTTAATCCTATTTATCAATAGCTCAAATTACATTTAGTGAAATTTTGAAAGTTAGTCAACCCTGGAATTCATTTAGTGTTTAGATTCATTCAAATACTTCTAATATCTAACAGTTTTTCTTACAGTTGTACAAAACTCTCGTCCTTCGTCTTCCCATTCTGGAAGTAGCAATGAAGTACACGACAGATCCCACACCAAATTTTAAACAGTACAGGAACTGGACAACGCTCTGGATGGCATAGAGTCCGTAGTCGGAAATGGTGTCCATAAGGTCTTCGGAAAACTCCAACACCATGCCGTAAAGCCGAACAGCGTAGCTCGGAAGGTGGAGAAGGGTGAAGATTGTAGACACCAAAACGAGAATTTTTGTGGATTTGATTTGAGCTCTGTTTAATGTGTTGGTAGAATTGTGAAAACGAAGCCCGTGTTTCGAGCTGCGTCTCTTTCCGTGCGAAGCGGGATGTCTCCGCTCAGGCCTGGAAATGTGTCTCTGCGCATGTACCGACGTGCTTCTTTCCTCACTGTGACTTTGAACACATTCCAAGCTGCTTACCAAATCATACTCCGAGCTGTCTCTTTCGCCATTCTGCGAGCTGCATCTCTGTAACTCGACAGATTCATCTTGACGGCTGCATTTGTTGAGATCACAATTCTGTAAAAGACTTTGCCTTCTAATGGCTATTTCCTGATTTCTGTTATAGACATTATGATGAAGCCTCATACCTCGAAGAACAAATATGATCGTTGCGTTGAGAGCCACGACTCCTACAAAAGGGACCACAAAAACGATGCACGAATCCAAGTATGTAACAATGGTCAGAAAATTATACCAGTATGAACTGACCACACACTCCCCTTCGTAGTGACCAATAGTGAAAAAACTGAAAGAATACAGGATCATAGACAACGCGGAAGCGCTGATCATGACCAGAATGGACTTCTTACGAGTGCAGACCCTGGAAGCTCTCAGAGGCACGCAGACGACAATAGTCTTTTCCGCCATCATGAAAACGACGAACCAAGCCGACAGGAAACTGCTGTTATAAGACAAGTATATGATTAACTGGCAGCTTAGCCTTGACCTCAGCAACGTGAACCTGGTCATCGAAGACAGCAGGAGTTTGGTGATCAGAAACAAGGTGTCCACGCAAACCAGCGCCGTCCAGTATTGGCTGCAGGGCTGTAACCTAACCGAGTCTCGTAGGAAGTAGAGGAGCAGAAGTAGGTTACCAAGGACGCCAAACAAACATGTTGCAGGTACAATGTAATGATTAAATAAGTGTACCACGGCAGGGATCTCCGTGTACACATAATATTGGTTCACATTTTCACGAAGATTATGGAGGACTGAGCTGCTGTTTTGGGAGACGTTACGAAAGTCCATTTCATTCCAGGAGTTTAGGATCCTTAGCAGCACTGACCTAAAACGAAGCGAAATATTTAAAAAAATGTTTCTGTATTTTTTTGTTGTATTATTGTAAATATTAAAATAGAATAATCTTAAGTATTTGTACGATACGATAACATTTTTACATTTTATAAAATAACAATTAATAAACATAGATCTCTTTGTTTTTTTTTTTATTTTGGGTTTCTAACGGCTCCATTTATAAATAGCGTAGCTGGTGGGTAATGTTACTTTAGAATATATCAGGGTTACCAACATAACGCATTTGTTAAAAAATGGTGAAACTGTGCGAAATACATCATATGCATATCTCTGGAATTTGTGTAATTGCGTGTATTTGCATCTATATTGTTATCGCTATAGTAGCTATGCTGAGGTGGACAATGGAATCGAAACGAAGTTTCTATTTGTTTGGAACAACAAAATTATCGTTTCTATTTTATAAGCAATAAGGCCTATAAACAAAACAAGGACTTACCTGACTTGCGCACATATAGTCTCTTATAAAGTCTAATGTAAATGAAAGAGTCAAAAGTATTTGAAATGAATTGTGAAGTGATCATTACAAACAGAGTACAGTCCCCTTCCGTCCGTCTGCTCTTGATCTAGTCTCGACTTTTGGAATGTAATCTTATTCTGTCAGTTGTCTCCCTCTTCACTATCCCTAGAGTCCATCAAACTCTAATTTCAACTGGGAATAGGTTTTTAAATACTTTTCTCGGTTTCTTTTTATTGCTTTATTTTTGTTCTTAAACTAAGTCACATGTATATGTGACAACTCAGACCTGGGTTTTCATGTAACAAAGGATGTGATTGAAACAGTTTTAGCAAAACCTTAGAAGTGATTTTTTTTCCTTTTATCTCTACTGCGATAAATGTGTTTTAAGGATCTAAAGTTAAATACATGAAGCATTAAATAGATTTGTGGATCTTCTTTGCTCATATATAACTTTTAAACTTTAGGCCACTTATATATTGATTGTTTTCAAATAAATTCTGTGTTTGCTGTTTATAGTTTTACAAAATGTTCAACATTTTATTTCATTGAAATATAAATACAATCTACTGAAAATAAACCAATGATTTAATTAACTATTGGTAATTAATTATATTGTTTGATATCTTGAACAAAGGAAAGAAATTGTACTTGATTGAAGTGAGGATATAAGCTGAATTAGTCCCATTTATTGTGCGAAACAAACAATAAATAACTATACAATCTTCTAGTTTCATAACCACCTTATTAGCAAAATTGTTAGTATGTGGGCTTGAGGAGACTTGAGCCATGAGTTCGAATGCAGGTTGCCCCCTCACCCTTTTTTTATCAATGCTTTTAAAAAGCAATTACGGTAAATTTCATCCAGATATCTCTTTCTTTCTCCACCCCCCTACCCCCACCCAATTTTCCCAACTGGTCAAGATAGATAAGTCATAGGATCATAGCGTATTGAGAAAGCTAAAAGCGGTTCCCGGTCATTTCATCCCCGGTCACTTCATCCCCGGTCACTTCATCCCCGGTCATTTCATCCCCTGGTCATTTCATCTCCTGTTCTTTTCATCATCTGATCATTTTATCTAACAAATAGTGATTGTACAAATCATGAAATAAGCAATATTTAATATATTCATTTTTATTTATATGACAAAAAGTGTGACACATTAGATAAGAATAAAATTTAATGCCATAAAAACTATTAAAATTTAACATGTATAAATATAGAGGTCCTGTAAAAAAAGTGTTTTTGTGTTCATCTACTTTTGATAGATAGATAGGTAAGATAAGATAAGATAAGATAATAGGCTATTGATTGTTAGTACAGAAGACGATCCATCGATTCACATAACTTAACAATGTTTTGTAATTTGTAATTCTCTTTGCCTATAACGCAGTTTACAACTTTAATGTTTAACAGAAATAAAAACAAAACTTCTATAGGCCACATGATATCCCAAGGATGGATAAAGTCAGCCTTTATTAGACAAAAACAACAACCTTATTTCAAGGCTAAAAATGACGCGAACGTTTTCTAAAAAGTGCGTTTGAAAGATAAAACAAAGTGAAAGATGGTCGTCAGGATCTCTCTCTCTCTCTCTCTCTCTCTCTCTCTCTCTCTCTCTCTCTCTCTCTCTCTCTCTCTCTCAGCGGCGTGATCATAAGTATTCTAATCGTTCTCATCTCTTAAATGATTTCCACTACTTCCACTACACCTTGGCCTTTGATGAAAAGTTATCAGCGGCATGATCATAATTATTCTAATCGTTCTCATCTTTTAAAAAATTTCCACTGCTTCCACCTTGGCCTTTGATCCTTACGTCATACGCAGGATAATATTATAATATTATATCCCCCACATTCCATAGATGCGCTATAGCTCAGTACACACCCAGATTTACAATATATTATAAGATTTCTCATTAAGAATGTAAAGTGGAAGGTCTGTCTGTCTGGACAAAAGTTTGTAAACGTTATTTCTTCCGACTTCCAATCTCGGATGAAGATGAAATTTTGCTTTTTTTATTTTTTTTTTTTTCGCTGGCAGAAAAGCTATGTAATGGATACAGGATTTTCATTATTTAAAATGGTATATGGGTCCAACCCGAGCTGATATATATGTTTACACTAAATGAGCGTAGAAAAAATAGCCGACAGCCGAACCGAAGAACCATCACTTTGAAATTATTCAAATTTTATACGCAATGATTTTCAAATTTAACTAAAAACTGTCGATGATGCTAAATTAGCCCTCAATGTTGCCAACTCTATTAAAAAAAAACTAGAAGTGCTAAAATTGTTAGTGTATTTTTAATAAATGAATGATTCTATAGTTCAAAAATACACAATTATATCCAGGTGTTTTTTTTAAATGTCACCTTCTTTAAAGAACATTTGCAGTACTGGACGACATCAACTAGATCTACCTATTACTGGATCTAGATATGATCTACTTTTTTAATGCAATTCTATTCTTTTCAGATGTCTCAAGTAGAAAAGGAGCCAATATTAGTAGCTAAACATCATTAATTGTTGATCATTATTATTATTTTTTTATTTTTTGTAAATGATGGACAAGATCTACATAGATCTAGATCTAATTATGTATGTATTGACAACATTATTAAACTTAACTTTAAATACCTGAGAAGTTTGAAATCACACTGGAACTGGATTCTTTTTTTTTGGTAACAATATTCCATGCACAGCATGTGACCTTCGTATTAACACTTCTCTACGAAGGACTATTTGTTTTGAAATAAAGTTTTGAGTTGTTCCCCTGTCATAGCGCGAAAACCTAAGTTTTGCGTTCTACAAACAGAATGTTGATTCTGTGATGCCAAAAAAGTACGAAACTATCGTATAGCTTTTAAAAAAGCCTAGCTTATTAACACTTTATTTTGTACACCGGATACACCAAAAAGCTTAGCTATTTAGTGTATCTGTTATGTACGAAAATCTCCGATGCGCATATTCTATTATCTTTATTAAATTGAATGAAGCATTAAAAAAATATTAGTTAATGATTTAATGAAGATATATCTGTTGCAAAAATACGCAAAATATTAGCTAGACAGCTAAATTATTAGAGTACTTCCAGATTTAAAAATAATGGGAGGCTCTTTCCTCTATTTTTCTCGAGTCGCTGCCCATTGAGTTTGGGGGGAGGTTGGTCACTTTGCCAGACTCCGTCCGAACAATGACTCCCAATGCCGTCACTGTTGAGAGAGCGTCGAAACAGTGTCGCACGTCTTGTACGAGTGTCCCCAGCTCCGGGAGCTAAGGGGGGAACGTGTCTGGACAGTTACTTGACTTGTATGGGGCTACGAAGCATTACCTCGTACGCACAGTTACTCGCCAGAGCACTACGGAGGGACTAGTCCTTCCTGCTGTTTCCAATCGGAGTTCATCTCAGGTCACTGTGATGAACACTTGACACCCTCGTCTGTCACAAAACAGGGTGAACTTAAAGTCAACTGGTCAAGTACTGCTCGTTAAGACGGGAAAGTTGCTTTACAAAACAAGGTTTGAAATGACATTGTCAATGATTTGTAAGAGAGACAACTAGCTGGGAATATCACTCAGTGAAGTCAGATTAACTTTCCCTTTTAAAATCTTTTGAGAGCACGAAAGAATATCATGAAATATATCTCTGACATTTTCACGCTGTCAATTTTGACCCTAATGTTCTCAATAGTGTATATTTATGTAAAGTTAAAAAATAGATGTCATACGATCAATACAACCAAGCGCTGTCTGGTTCTGCAGTCTCAGACCGACAGATTTATATGAAACATTGGTCTGTTGTGCGAGAGCTGGCCAGTTTTAAATGGATTAATGCTTGGAAAAAAATGGAATCATCAATTCTGTTAAGTCCCTCGACTGCCTCATGTCACAGCCTGGTTATCGTTACAGGTCTGGACGGTCTTGAGCTGGTCTGCCTTTTTGTGCTTTAACTGAATACTTTCTCACACGCACTATATTTGCAGATGCGTGAGAACACTAACATAATGAATGCTACGACCACAACATGTAGAATTATTAATAGACTCTAGGTCAGCAGACATGGATTTTATTCACATAAAATATAATTCACAAAAGATATTGGCAAGTCCAGCCATCAAGAAATATACACAAAACATTGTACATTAGAATCCAATAGAATAATTTAGATATCACACATGCACCAAAAATCCATAATATTCCTCTCTCTACAAGAGTCTAAGATCAATTGAGGTGTCCACCTCGTGGTCAGTCCCCGACCAGGAAAAATCTCGTGCTAACTGCACGGAATAGTTCAGTGACTACTTGTCACCAAATATTACAAGGGTTCTAAAACTGATATATGACACCTCATCAAGTGAGATATCGCTGCATTTCTTTATCTAAATGCCTTCACAACAATGCAGAGGTTCGCTATCCGATGATTGTGACCCCGAATGCTGTGGGATCAGCGGCTTAGTTAATTAAAATGTGTTCAATAATTCATGAACATAAAGATAAGAAAAGAAATGTTTAATTAAAATGTTTTTCAATCATTGGTTTGTAACCAAAACCGCTATTACCACTAACCGATGTGGGTGTATACAATTCTTACTGAGATTTACTTCAAATAAACGTACACAAGCTTCTTTTAAACAAACTTGATATACATTTATTTATCTTATCTTATATAATACAGATGTTACTTCAAAAAAGAAGATGATTACGTCCTAGGCGTCATGCATTTAGTCATGCATATTAACCAATGACTTAAATTCTGCCAAGTCACTGGTTTTCCTGGCTAGCTCAGGAAAACCCATTCCATGCTCTAATAGCACTAGGGAAGAAGGAGTATTTGTACAAATTTGTCCTAGCATATGGGACAAGGAATGTGCCTTTATTTACAGTTTATACAACCAAAACATTCGCTCTCTTTTCCTCATAGTTACGCACATACATTCCATAACACGAAGATAGTTTCCGATAATTTTTGGTTCAATGCCGATTTCCTTTTTTTTTTATATTATTTTCAAGTAAGCTTCAAGTTGGCATCGTGATGATTTTAATGTTTTGTTTTTCATTATATCGTGAACACATCTGATATATGTGACATCTGATATATGTAACATCTGATATATGTAACATCTGATATATGTAACCA